TTTTTTTTTATATAATGAAGCTGTCTATATTTAGTAGATTGTGTGTAACATACAAAAGAGTGATGATCGACCTACACAATCGAGGTATAGAAATTCTACTCATTTAAAAAAACTGCGCTGGTATCGGATCGATATCGGTATCAACAGATACTCGGAATTTTTGGTATCAGATCGGTATCGGTTCTGAAAAAGTGGTATCGAGCCATCCCTACTGCTTCAGTGTACAACTGTTGGCGCAAGCTACATTAAAGTGATTATTACGTTTTGAATATGGATATTTTTCTTACAAAAACGCATCGATTCGCTACAGGAGGCCTTTGTTCACCCCTTAGAGTGCTCAGGACCTCAGACTGGGCCGAAGGTTTACCTTCCAACAAGACAATGACCCTAAGCACACAGCTAAAATAACGAAGGAGTGGCTTCACAACAACTCTGTGACTGTTCTTGAATGGCCCAGCCAGAGCCCTGACTTAAACCCAATTGAGCATCTCTGGAGAGACCTAAAAATGGCTGTCCACCAACGTTTACCATCCAACCTGACAGAACTGGAGAGGATCTGCAAGGAGGAATGGCAGAGGATCCCCAAATCCAGGTGTAAAAAACTTGTTGCATCTTTCCCAAAAAGACTCATGGCTGTATTAGATCAAAAGGGTGCTTCTACTAAATACTGAGCAAAGGGTCTGAATACTTAGGACCATGTGATATTTCAGTTTTTCTTTTTTAATAAATCTGCAAAAATGTCAACAATGCTGTGTTTTTCTGTCAATATGGGGTGCTGTGTGTACATTAATGAGGAAAAAAAATGAACTTAAATGATTTTAGCAAATGGCTGCAATATAACAAAGAGTGAAAAATTTAAGGGGGTCTGAATACTTTCCGTACGCACTGTATATATATATATATATTTTTTTTTATATAATGAAGCTGTCTATATTTAGTAGATTGTGTGTAACATACAAAAGAGTGATGATCGACCTACACAATCGAGGTATAGAAATTCTACTCATTTAAAAAAACTGCGCTGGTATCGGATCGATATCGGTATCAACAGATACTCGGAATTTTTGGTATCAGATCGGTATCGGTTCTGAAAAAGTGGTATCGAGCCATCCCTACTGCTTCAGTGTACAACTGTTGGCGCAAGCTACATTAAAGTGATTATTACGTTTTGAATATGGATATTTTTCTTACAAAAACGCATCGATTCGCTACAGGAGGCCTTTGTTCACCCCTTGGAGCCGTGTGAGACACTTTTTTTTTGGATGGGTGCTTTTTATTTCACTTCTTTTGGACTGATGCACTGCAACACCCGCTGAGTGGGTTTGTCTGAAAGAAGAAAGTCATATACACCTAGGATGACTTGAGGGTGAGTAATTTATGAACTAATTTTCATTTTTGGGTGAACTAACCCTTTAACTGTATGAATGAAAACAGTTGAAGCACTCTTCCTAAATATCTTACTTTGTGTTCTGCACAAATATTTTTTTTTTTTGGGTGGACTTTCTCTTTAAGAGTCAACCATGGTAGATGGACAAGTGTTTGGGAAACTTGTTAGGAAACACCATTAATTATACAATTCTATTTGGTGCTGCTAGTAGCACAGAAATTCACCTTTAAAGGTTAAAATGTTCTGTTCATTTTTATAATACCATCAAATCTTTTTTCTATTTTAGAAGGGTTTCCACATAATAAGAACTAGACCATTAGCATTTACAAGAACACGCTGAGCCCTACATTTGCATAATAATCTCAAAACACTTATGAAAAACATTTTCAAAATAGACATGCTTTAGTGACGTGTGGTGGGTTCTTTACAAATTAACAATCATCTTACGATGAACGGGACAGAAATGGAAGTTGTGTAGAGGAATGAAAAATAAACAAACCATTTGCAACCTTGCACACCTATTGAGCTCTGTTATAACTGTGCAAATAAGAAACTCTACTGAGAAAAAAGAATGTGATTCTAAATGGTGAACACAATCATTCCTCACGAACCTCAAATGCAATTTATTTGAAGCCATTCACTGTCTTTGTTGCAGTTTGGCATCAAAAAACTTGCACATACATACATACACATGAGCACGTGTACACAAAGCAACATTTAAAAAGTATAGATTCATAAAACTCAAAGAGAGGACAGAAGGAGGGAGATATCAAAAGTTTCAGATGGCTGTAAGAGTGCCTGGCTTTACTCAATGCAGGCTACAAATGTGCAATACAGCTTGTTTGTGTTCAGCTGAGTGTGTGTTGATTCTGTAACCAGTGTAGGCAGAGTGACAGTTACATTAATGAATATGAACACAACCCCCCCCCCAGCACAGTCCTCTCACTGATTACAGCTTTAACAAGCTCCCTCCACCATCTGTTAGACTCACACGCTCCTAGATCTGGGAGAATTCCACCGGACACCGAATGTGTGTGAGCGAGGAAGGCAGCGCACTTTGTTAAAATAGCACTGCAGGCTGGTACATTTCTGAATGCCCAAGCTTTAAGACAGTCACAGCGATTATAGGGCTGACCTTGTGTTTCTCTGCAGAATGACCTCAGGTGTGTGTTTTTCTCCTGTTGATGGCAGCTGCTCTGTTCTGTTACTTTAAAAAGCTTTGAGATACTAATTAAAATCCTTCTCCGCTGCCTGCAGTCTACAACGCATCTTTTCTCCATCTCCTCCATAGAACTTTGGGTTCTGTACAGTAAGCTCAAGCGAAGGACAGTACGCCACGTAATCATCCCCAGACATTAATCATCAGTTATTGAAATGCCAAATGAAAGGGGGGAGAATAGATTCGAGCGTGTGTGTGTTGGCAAATTGTTCATTTGACAACACAAAACCACAGCGCACAAATCACACCACAAATGTTCAGCACAATACAACACAAAACAATGCCATGATGCAACACAGGTTTCATAACCTAACAAGATCGCCTTGTTTTCTTGGGACACATGAGGAGATAAAGACTTTCAGACCCCATGTAATTGAACTGATCAAGACACACGTGTAGCTGGTAGAGAACACTGATACGGCAGCAGGTGTTCTCTCAGAGAGCAGCTCTCACCTGCCGCTCACTCAGCGCTGTGATCTTGGCCTGCAGGTCACGGAGCTGCAGCTTCAGATCTGCATTCTGTACAAAGAACACACACACTCCTCCCTGATACACTAGTCCAGCGGCCGGTATATGAGAGCGTATCGATCAAACAGTAACGGAAATGTTCAGTGAGGGAGACGCACCTGTGGATCTTGCTTCATCTGGCTCACGAGTTTCTGCATGGAAGAGAGAGAAAGTTTTAGCATTTTCATGAGTAAAGAAAACATGCCGATGCAGTGACCTCTAGAGGACAGTGAGGGTACTACAGCCGCAACAATTACACAGCTTCCATATGGTGTGAGGGGAGGATACCTGATGGATCTGGATTTCCACTTTGAGTGCTTCCTGTAAATTTTGCAGTTCCATCATCGATCTCTTCCTCCCAAAACCCAACACAGCTGCCTGGCGAATAAGAGGAAGAGAGCAGATATTATTTCATTAATTGTGATGTTATTGAATAACTACGAATAAAAAAGAAATAAGAGCTTTTTGAGGTCTCAAAGTGTGCATGACTATGCCATGACAGATCTGTTAGTGTTCTAGTGCAAGTGTGCGGAAATCTGCTCAGTGTGAGTAGGATATATCAGTGTACTGATTCAATCAGAACTACTCTCATCAAATCCTGCCTGAACACCATGAATCAAACTGAACAGCACACTTTTGCACATACACATTCCTGTTCTTTTCCCTCTGTTACTCTTCTTTGGGGGAAAATGATGCTGATGCTGATGCATGCATTAACCATTTCCATCTCTCCCAGCCTCTGAGAGTCCGTTGTAAAGAAACCTCTTCAGAACTGTTTCTACGCTAATGTTTTGAATAATAATTACACTGTGTAGTCCAGAAAAATATTTCAATTAATTAGCTAGCCAATGAAACACCATAAAGTTGACCATCACAGTTGTGTCAGAATGTGTGCACCCCCCTTAGGACAATGGTTTATTCTATACCTTCCCAACGTCTGCCGTCTTGAACACCATCCAACTGGCAGAGTGGGGGGTGGAGCTGGAATAGACAAGAGAGGATGGTAAGGAGCACACATATTTACACACAGCAGCGCTCTGGCGAGTGACAAATCTACATCAGAACAACATAGAAAGTGGAAGCTGTGTAGAAAAAAGATTTGGGCTGCATGCAAAGGTTGCTGATTCAATCTCAAATTTAGAGGACACAGAAACTGGAGGCTTACTGGAAAAGAAAACAATGCTTCTTTATTTGCTGAAGTTACTTAAAGGGGTCATATGATGCTATTTTAAAGATCATTATTTTGTGTTTGGTGTAACATAATATGTTGACATGCTTTAATGTTCAAAAAACATTATTTTTCGAATACTGTACATTATTGTAGGTCCTCTATGCCCCGCCTCTCTCAAGCCGTCATTTTCTACAAAGCCCCTCCTTCCGACAAGCACGGTCTGCTCTGATTGGCCAGCTGACCCAGTGCATTGTGATTGGCCGAACTCCGCAAGCACTCGTCGGAAATGTAACGCCCCTTTCCATAATCGTGAGCTTCAGCTTTCAACATAAATGTAAAGACAGTACATAATGTCCTTAGTTTTACCATCAGTTCAAGCCCGAAAGGGGAACAGAGTCGCGTGACAGACACAGTGATGATGCTCGTATGTATTTGCAGTACACAAGCCACGATTAAAAAATCTGACTCCACTGTGATGTGACGCTGTCTCTCTCTCTCACACACACACGACGCGATACTCTACACGACACAAAACTCTGCATTTGAACAGTCAATAGCAAATACTTAAACTACCATATGACCCCTTTAAAGGGACAGTTCAGCCCAAAAATTTAAATTCTGTCATCATTACCTTCATGTCGTTCCAAACAGGGCTGCACGATTAATCGAATGTGATTGTCATGCACATTTTGTTAAAAAAGCCGGTTCTGTAATCAGCAGTAAATCATCATCACGTGCTTTCAGATGGAGCAGAATTTGGTACACATAGCCGTAGTTCACTGACAAGTTACGCAAAAAAAATCGCAGATGATTTTATTGCGCGATTCTGAAATCGAAGAAATTGTTCGCAATAATGTTTGCATAGCTTCTCAGTGAACTACAGCTCTGTGAAGTAAATGCTGCTCCATCTGAAAGCATGTGAAAATACCACATTAAATACCATTTTTACTTCAAACTCACTTCTGTGAGATGATGTGGCTTCTTACACAGAATAAGGCACGCAACATATTTCATAGTATTTAAGCAGTGATAAAGGCATTGCATTATAAATATACTTTATTTTAATGAAAATTATAATAAGAAGAACTCAGATAAACCGTATATTGCCGTAGTCGTGTGTTTATTAGTCACGTTGAATCAATGAAAGCAGTTGAATCTTCTGTTTATTCAGCTTCAGCGATAGGCATTTTCTGTGTTTCTTCTGCGAGGCGTATTTGGAGTTTCAGCGCGAGAGTGCCCTCTGGCCTTTGGATGGAGATTTACTACTGATCACAGAACCGTGCTTCACTGAAAGATACGCATGACAATCGCAGCTTCTGTCGAATCACAATCTCGATTCCATTTTGATTTATCATGCAGCCCTAGTTCCAAACCTGTGACTTTTTCAGACAGTTTTGTTTTGTTTAGTTTTTTTGTACAGAGTTTTAATTTTTGGGTGAACTATTCCTTTCAGTCAAGGTTCCTGGAATGAAAGAACTAGGCCTGGGCGATAAAACGGTATCGATATTTATCGACGGTACACCTTCTTCGATAACGATATTTAAAAAAATTTATATTGCGCACAATATAGGCACGTGCTATGAGTGACGCAGACAGCACACACAAACACGAACACATGCTGAATTGAGTGCTGTGCCTGCCTGTGATGAGGAGATTGTAAATTAAAAAATGAATATTAGTCGAATTTAAAATAAACATTTGCATTTGAATGTTAGGTGTGCATCAGGGAGTGTCATCAGTTGCGGTGATAATGATGTAAGTGACGTTGTTGCATTTTAATGTTTTGTTAGTCTAACCCACGAGACGCGCCACTGCTGTGTTATGCATTCAAAATATTAGAGAAATATAGAAGCTCAATGCGGAGATGATCTTGATTAGGTGAAAACTGAAACCAAGCCATTCACACAGAACGCAAATTCAGAGCATTTTTTAGACGGACAAATATGACTGCTGCACTCGCGTCTCACAGAAGAGATGTATAGAAAGTTACGCAAAAAAAATCGCAGATGATTTTATTGCGCGATTCTGAAATCGAAGAAATTGTTCGCAATAATGTTTGCATAGCTTCTCAGTGAACTACAGCTCTGTGAAGTAAATGCTGCTCCATCTGAAAGCATGTGAAAATACCACATTAAATACCATTTTTACTTCAAACTCACTTCTGTGAGATGATGTGGCTTCTTACACAGAATAAGGCACGCAACATATTTCATAGTATTTAAGCAGTGATAAAGGCATTGCATTATAAATATACTTTATTTTAATGAAAATTATAATAAGAAGAACTCAGATAAACCGTATATTGCCGTAGTCGTGTGTTTATTAGTCACGTTGAATCAATGAAAGCAGTTGAATCTTCTGTTTATTCAGCTTCAGCGATAGGTATTTTCTGTGTTTCTTCTGCGAGGCGTATTTGGAGTTTCAGCGCGAGAGTGCCCTCTGGCCTTTGGATGGAGATTTACTACTGATCACAGAACCGTGCTTCACTGAAAGATACGCATGACAATCGCAGCTTCTGTCGAATCACAATCTCGATTCCATTTTGATTTATCATGCAGCCCTAGTTCCAAACCTGTGACTTTTTCAGACAGTTTTGTTTTGTTTAGTTTTTTTGTACAGAGTTTTAATTTTTGGGTGAACTATTCCTTTCAGTCAAGGTTCCTGGAATGAAAGAACTAGGCCTGGGCGATAAAACGGTATCGATATTTATCGACGGTACACCTTCTTCGATAACGATATTTAAAAAATTTTATATTGCGCACAATATAGGCACGTGCTATGAGTGACGCAGACAGCACACACAAACACGAACACATGCTGAATTGAGTGCTGTGCCTGCCTGTGATGAGGAGATTGTAAATTAAAAAATGAATATTAGTCGAATTTAAAATAAACATTTGCATTTGAATGTTAGGTGTGCATCAGGGAGTGTCATCAGTTGCGGTGATAATGATGTAAGTGACGTTGTTGCATTTTAATGTTTTGTTAGTCTAACCCACGAGACGCGCCACTGCTGTGTTATGCATTCAAAATATTAGAGAAATATAGAAGCTCAATGCGGAGATGATCTTGATTAGGTGAAAACTGAAACCAAGCCATTCACACAGAACGCAAATTCAGAGCATTTTTTAGACGGACAAATATGACTGCTGCACTCGCGTCTCACAGAAGAGATGTATAGAAAGCCAAGCAAAGTTAAAACAGTTTAAACTTTTAGAAAACACGTCACAAATTTGTGGAGGTTTATTCTTTTTCACTGCGTCTCATAAGTTTTTAAATGCAATCTGTGTGAATGGCGCTTCGGCTCTTTGTATTAAGCAATGCATAAATACATGATGCTGTTTTGTTCATAATTGTTTATGCAATTTGAAATTATATTTGATTTATATGAGTTAATTCAGAATGCACGTTTTTTTAGAGACAGTTACTTTCTTGCGTTGACAATTTAAATGTGCTGCATTATTTTGTTCATTGCGCCCTCCTGTGGCCTCCGGAGACAAAACAAACGTTTCCTTAAAACCTATTTAATCTGCATATAAAACATTAGAAATTAGATATTTAATTTTTATTGTGTGTTTGACTGTTAAAACAAAAAAATATTTGTTGTTTGTCTTAAATTGGGTTAATTTTAAAATACAGTGGTTAAATATAAAAAAAAAATCTATTGCTTTTTGTTTTAAAAAAGGCTATAAAAAATGTCAATAATTATCGATACCGAACGATATGAAACATTATATCGTTGATACATTTTTTAGCTATATCGCCCAGCCCTAGAAAGAACTACAAATTGCTTCTGTGAAAAAATTGTCCCCTAAACAGCATATATCCAAGTAGCTAGTACAATGTCCTGGAACAGCATATTTACAGAGACACATTGCAAACAAGTCCCTTGCAGACAAGTCAGTTCACTTGGTGGCCATATTGACCCCTTAACAGCTATTTCCAGCTTTTTTACCTTGTATTGGGAAAGACTGAAATCTATATTTCAATAACATAATTCAAATCAGGAAAAAAAAATCATAAATTGTGCTTATTAAGGTCAACTCACACAAAAGGGTATTTTTCAGACCCTTCCGGGCCAATAACAAGCACATTCTATACTAAACAAACAACAATTGGCTTATTTAACAGCCACCATGTTGAGAGTCGCAATAACTCCATCAAAAATGTTAAGGCAGGACTATAGCCAGGCACTATATTTGAACATTGTGATTTCCCACATTCATACATGTACAAGTGGACTTATATGTCTTTGGAGTTGTATTCAATGATGTCAGTGCAGATTCACTCCCTGCTTTCTCTAGTTTGTTTAAGCTGTTATTTTTTGTTCTCTATACTTGTGTCACAGAATCAGTCTCTGTCTCTGCCACAGATCATCACTCTCTTCTCATAGGAATGAAAGCAGAGACTACCAGATGGGCACTCCACACACTAAGAGCTTCTCACTCATCTACAGAGTGGCATCCTCTATCTGTAGTTGCACCAGTCACTGTGATGTATCTGCCTCAGGAAAGTATTTAACCAAAGGAATATAAAAAATTGATATTTACAAACCCACAGGAAGCAGATTAACTTTTGCCTATTAAAAACATAAAATCCTGCATTATAATTGCCCACAGCAGAGCAAAAGGGCAATTTTCTGGGACTTCTGTATTCAGTAAGGGCAAACAGCCAAAGTGATCAGAACACTCACACTCACACACACACACACACACACACACGCACGCACGCACACACACAACACACTACACCTGCCTGATCAGACTGGCATACCAAACCCTCACCTGTTGGCTCAGTAAACAGGC